GAAACCCTGTACAGGGTCGCTATGGGTCGGAACCGACTCGACGGCACTTAACAACAACAACAACAACAACCCGTGGTCTTTGTCATGAAAGATTTTGGCGTCTCATCTCCAGAAATTATAGGTTTCCCATATGTGGCGCTGTCGGGTAAGCAATGAACCACAAGGCCAATTTGAACCTCAAAGTGGCAGTTCAAATCCACCAGCTGCTCCTTGGAAACCATGTTACAGGGTCGCTGTGAATGAGGACCAACTCAATGATACTTAACAGCAATAACATACCTCCTAGGTCCCATCAACTCTTTTTTTTTTTTGGTGCTCTTCATTTCTCTAGAAAGAGCCCTGGTGGCACTGTGGGCTAGGTTCGGCTAATTGCAAGGTTGGCAGTTCAAACCCACCAGCTGCTCCATGGGAGACAGCGTGAGGCTGTTTGCTCGCATATTTACATAGTCTCGGAAATCTTATATAAGGTTGCTATGAGTTGGAATTGACTCTGGCAGTGGGCTTGGAGGTTTTTTTTTTTTTGACTATTTATCTGGAGCAGAGAAGCAATCATGCCTCATTCACCAGCGCCCTCAGACACAATTGTGTCTCAAGTTAATAGCCAAGAAATTGCAGCCACTTCACAATCAGCTCAAGCAGATTAGGATGTTCTTTTTAAAATACAAATTGGGAGCAACCTTTGATGATTTAATGAAAAGAAACAAACCTGGAACATGGGAGACATGGATTCCTCTCCTTTAAAGGAGAGATCTTCATCCATTTGTTCACTCAGCAAACCTTTGTAGAGAACTGACTTGAAGGCACTTAACAACAACAGCTACATTCCTGGTGTGGCACTGCAGGATAAAGCGCTGGACTGAAAGGGCAGGTTGAGCTGCAGGGTCGGAGGTTCAAACCCACCAGCTGCTCCTCGGAAACCCTATACAGGATCGCTATGAGTCAGAATGGACTGGACAGCACTTAACAACTACATTCCACACATCTTGATGGGAAGGGAGAGGCAGGTATCCCACTGGAGTGTCAGTGTAACTTAGCAGGCATGTATCTAAAGTTCCCTGAGCCTCAGTTTCCTGATGTGCAAACAGGCCCTATGGCCCTTGTAATCTGTGGGAAGCACCTAGCAGGCGTGTCATAGAACAATGTTCACAAATGAATGTCAAAGGGGAATGAGACTAGAAGGAGTATCATCTCTGGGATCATGTATGAATTTCGCTTCCTTCTTGATACCTCTCTGAGTTATCTTTTTAATATGTATGCAAAGAGCTTGCATTGCTTTTACAATCAGAGAGAGCAATAAAGTTCTATTTAAAGACTACAGGAGAGATTGGAGGGGAAGTTTCTGATTGAGGCTCAATAAATGTTGGTTTCTGTCCCTGGGGTGGGGGGAAGGGGAACTAGTTGACAGTGTTGACAAATGAGTTAGAGGGAAATGGGGAATTTTTTTTTTCTTCCTCCTCCCCTCCCAATTATCAACAATGATTTATATGCAGAGGAAAAAGTTGTTAACAAAAAGAAGAAAGCTAAGCAGTTTGTGTGGTTTGAGTCCAGACAATAAGTACCCAGCTGTCCCCAGTACAAGGTAAGGCTACATGAGAACCACAAAAATCCCACCAGATACGGGCTTCTTGCTCCCAATTCCAGGGAGAGCTTGGTCTCCTGCAAGTGATGTCCTGGGTACCAAATAAAAACAGTCAATGTCCACATTACCCAGAGTCCTCTGGCCTCCTTTTCTTCACAAAGAGCAAGGAGATGGTGCCTTTGGAGATTCTCAGCTATGA